GCCGGTTTCCCAGGGAGGTCCGGCGCATGAATTGCCAGTGCATGCGGATGAAAGTCACACACACCAATGCATTGCACAGCATGTTGACCAGGAAGAGGGAGGAGCTGCAGCCGCCACATATGTAGAAGTAGGCGGCATAGGTGGACACATTGGTCCACCAGTCAAATAAGCACCAGGTCTTGGAGTACTGGCAGTCATTTATGAATAATTTATAATATAATTTATTTTTCTCTCTCACCTAACTGGTTTGGGGGGACAGCATTTTTTGGCGCCCCCCTGGAAAGTGCCGCCCTAGGCAAATGCCTAGTTTGCCTTGCAGTAGATACACCCCTGGGTGACACCCCGCAGTGACGTCATCACACATGCGCGCTGGTCCTTTTTGACGTCTGCCGGCGGCCATCTTGCTGAGAGAGGAGGGGACGTTCACCCGGCGGGATGAAGTATGCCGCCGGGTCCCCTCCTCTCTCCTGACACTGTCGGGGCTCTCGGTCCGTGACCGAGTGCCTGACATTTTTCATAGCGGGGGACACCAAAATGACTGTCAGTCCTTTTGGTGTCACCCCTCCAGTGGTGGCACCCGGGTGCGGGCCGCACCACATTTTGTGACGCCAGTGCTCAACCCCTCCCCTTCTCCTCAATTACCAAAGATAATAATCGTTCTATAGCCCAAGATAAACACTGGGAGGGCTAATTCGACTCCTTGAGATGAAGCAGCAGGAGAGGTAGAGAAAGCACAGAACTATAGAATGAAGAATGCAGACGCAGGGAGATCCTTGCACTGCAGGTCCTCAGGTGCAGCTTTATCACCAGCAAGAAGAACACTGAGCAGCACAGGAGTGGCATCATCAAATCTCCCTGCAGATCGGGTGAGAGTGGCAATCAATGGGCAGCAGTGCCTTAGATGATCTTACACTGCCGATAGATGGCTATGGGGCTCAATGCACAGGGGTGCCTAGGCACCTAAAGGCCACTGCTATTTATCAGGAGGGATTCAATGCAAAATGTACATTTTAAGGCAAAGCTAACCTGTCTATATACACCGAGTGGCCAGATTATTATGACCCCCCCATCAGTACTTCGTTGGGCCGCCTTTTGCCTTCAATACTGCGGCGATTCTTCTCGGCATTGACTCCGCGAGCACCTCGGGGAAGCAATTCATGAGAACCTCTTAAGGGGATATTAAAGGGGAATTTGTGTAACAAGTACGAGCCCTCCATACTTTTACATCCGATGATCCCGATCCGCGGTGTACGTTACTTACGGTGCGGCGCGCATATTTCTGCTAATGGATTGCTCTACATAATCGGAGCCAATGTAGCTGTTGGCTTTCGTCACAGAGGTTTCGACATTGCCGTATTTACTCCCCGTGATGTGCCAGCTGTCGGCTCTTAATGTTGTTATGATAAAATACGCCGCGGAGGGGG